AACTCTCATGAAGACATTAAGTCCTAATTCTATCATCTACCTTGTTAAGAAATGTAAAAACCACAACAACTAGCCTACATCTTAACAGTTTGACCTTTGCTCACTAAAAAGGTCATAACTGAAGTTTTAGACCTCCTTTTTGGGGGCAGCGCCATTGGAAAGCTAACATCCAATGCTACAACTTTCATGAAGACTTCAAGACCAAATTCGGTCATCTACCCTCACCGCTGCAGCACTCAAATCAACGCTTTAGCATTGGATTTCTACCAGCTCAGTCTCCTCCCCACAGCTACAGCCATGAACCACGGCTACAACGGTGGATCTCTGCCATTCTCCCTTTTTCATGGCAGCAGCCATGAACTATGGCTACAACGGTGGGTTTTTGCCATTCTCTCTTTTATTCCATAGCTATGGCCATGAACCATGGCTACAATGATGGGTGCAATTTTTTTTTGCATTTCCATAGCTTCTACCTCTGATCCTCACGTTCTTTTCAACAATCTTCCCTCTAAACATGATCTATACTCATGATTACTACTACATTCGTTCAAGTAACCCAAAAATCACAGAAATTTCAACATGCATACATCAAACTTCATGATCACCCATTTTTACCAAACTCATTCAAGAACACCACAATCCCAAACAACATGCAACCCACCCAACTCAACTACTCAACCCCAAGTCACATCCTAGATGATGATCCAACTACATGAAATCCAAAATATACAATGATTCGAGTTCTAACTTCTCTTACCTCTTATCGGATTCAAAATCCGAGCTTCAAGCCCACGAGAAGGAAGAAGAAAAAGAAGAAGAAAATGAAAATGCTTCAGGGAGGAAGACTCCAACATTAGCCTTACTGCTTTCCTTGCTTCTCACCAGCTTAACCTTTCAAATCAAACACTAGCACCCATGGTTCAACCAAGAAAGGAAATGAGAATAGAGTAATGGAAGGAAGGAAAAATGAGAGAGAGAGCTCTTGGGTGTGGTTCTTACAAAAATATTTTTTTTCTATAAGTTATTATATTATTATATAGTCTTTTAAAATTTAAAAGATATTTCTTTATGTTAAAATAATCTTTTAAAGTTTTAATTCAATAAATATATATTATAGTCTATTAAGTTTTAAAAAAATAGTGAATTAAATCTAATTTATTATTTATTTTATTTTAATAAATAGATTGAATAGATTTATTTGTGGATGAATGAAATAAATTAATTAATTTGTCACACCTATCTTATGCATGACAGCAAAATATGGAGCAGAGTTAGTTAGTTGATCGGGGTGCCCTTATCTTATATTATTAAAGGCAGCGTGGGTTTTTTCGTCAGTTCATTTTTGTCATCTTCTTTCAGAGTCAAGATACATATAATTAATTTACAAATTCAATCGTGTCTGACTCTGACTCACCATACTTTTTTTTCTTCTTCTTTTTTCTGCCTTCCAGAACCAGACTATTGGCAGAATATGCTCAGCAAGCGAGAACCCCAAAAACTTCAAAATTCAAAACTTCTCTTATTTTTTAATTCTCGTAATTTTAATTCCCAGAATATTATTTTTAACCCCAAAACACCCCTACGAGTACCACCTTTATAGCTTGCTACTTGCTAGTACTATTCACTGCTTAGAACATTGCTCAATTCTATCAACATGTTAAACGATCGACTACAATACATACCATGCCCTCTGCTCGCTAAATTTAAGGGACCACACACTCTGTTTCCTCAATCAAATTTTATTTTTTATTAATGACCAAAATATCATTCATAAAATCGAAACTAAACCCAATTCTCTTAAAGTAAAATAAAAATAATTAGTTAAATTATATGATAAAGATTAATTATTTACAAAGTTAATCAAAACTTTCCACTAATAATAATAATAATAAACATTGCCACTAGCATACTTGAAAAATAGTTGGCATTATTCTTTTGAGTTTCAATACATTATAGAATGACATATTTGAAAGTGATAACATTATACACTATAAAATAGTATTTGACAGATTTTTTAATAAAATTTAAGTATAAAGATAAAAATATTTTTTTTTAAACTAAAAAAAGTAAAAAAGATAAATTTTAAATTTGAGAGATTTAAATATGTGATTCCTTAAAAGAATGATGTGATTAAAAAGTTTGATAGAGGCGATCCCGTGAATTAATTTTGAAATTGTAGTTGGTAATAGATAGGAAGGAGAGTGAGAATGTTTAAGGTGGTAGCCCAAAGGCAAGAAAGGGATTAAACGACAAAGAGCATGGAAAGGGGTAGGGCAGCCCAATTATGTAGCAATGAGGCCCATGTTCAGAAAGAGACAGGCAATGCATGTAATGAATTGGCCAAAAATTAATTACACATATTTGGTTGTGTGCATTGACAAGGAGATTTGGGGCTCAAGAACCCAAAAAATGCGATCATTAATGAGAGTGGGAAGCAAAGCAAGACATAATGGATTGACCACTAGCAGACATTCTTTAATCTGCTTTCCATTTGAGGCAAATGGACATAAACCTCTACGCCTACACCCAAATGAATGTGACATCCTAGATTGCCACAAAACAAATAAACGTTCATGTTATGTTACATACCTTTCATCGGGGTAATTCGGTAATCACACATTCAGTAGTAGCCTAGGCTCGCAGTCCCCACAACTAATCGAAAGATAGAAACGTTTTCGTTTTATATTCTTTCTGCAATCCCTCATAACAGTTTTCTCATTCCACTGTGCCTTCTCTTTCATTTCAGTTTTTAAGCTGCACCCATTCTTTTGACACCGACGTTACGCCCCCAAATTCATCTTTCATCTTCAAATCACAGTATAATCGAATTCGAATTGTACGTATCCACCCTCTGACAACACACATGCCCAATGCTCAAATTTTTTTTACTTTTTTTATTTTGGTTACCCTTGTTTTCCATTAGTTTGTTCAACCTGCAGTCTATAGTCCCATCATATATTTGCTTGTCACTGATATATGTACATGAACAGTCCAAGATCCTTCCTTGCCACAATTATTTTCAGATCTCTTCATTTTGAACTATATACTGAAGACAAACGACATGATCTCCCTCTGATGTTATTGTTAAGGCTGTGTTTATGTTTGTTCTGTCCTGTCTTGCTTGCTCAAAGTGATACAATTTGGTTAATAATACTACATTCATAGATCGACATGAATTTGGTTCACAATACAAACTTAACATCTTTTTACCAAACAATTATGTATTCTGTCTCTTCTGTATGTATATACCAACCGCATACAAAACCAACAAAGTGTAATTGGTTTCCCATTTTTCATTATATTTGTATATTAATTATGTACAAATAGAAGAGAGATTGAAAAGAAAAAAACAAACATGAGATAAGTTCGATGATTTGATAGATTATAAAAAATGTTATGAAAATTGGAGGAATAATTTTATTTTTTGGATGGATGCTTTTAATGATTTCTAAATTATGTTGTCCTAGTATGGTGACAAACTCGTTACTAAATTATTGAGCGAATACTTTTTTTTTTCTTTGACCAAAGAGATGTGTACCTATTTGAAAACAATTCAATGAAATCTTTTTCGCGGCTATTGGCTAATAATTGTTCGTATTAACCTGGAGTAACTCATGAAACAAGAGACAAACAAAATTGTTGTTCGGCCATATCTGCATCTTGGTCTCCAAGTTGTTTTTTTTTTTTTTTTTTTTTTTTTTTTTTAAATTTTAAATTAGAAACAGATGAGGTTCAAATCAAATAAGAGATATATGGACACAAAAATATGTGCTTCATGTGAATCCCCTTTTGTTTCAGGAGAATTGTAGATTATTCTTGTAGAAATAAGGTCAACAATATTGCATGTCAGACTTATTTTTCTCCTTTTTAGCTATTTAAAACAAGGGAACCTCTTCCTGCAAGAATTTTTTATTTTTATTTGTTACTTTTGATCAACTCTCATAATACAAAAGAAACCACCGAAACGAAGAAAGAAAAACCAAAACCATTAAGAAAAATAAATGTTTGGCAAATACTTATCCATAACAATATATTGTAGAAAATAATTCTGGATCCTTCTATATAAAGTATTTTTTTTGAACGATAATCTTAATTATTCATTTAAAACTATCAAATATCTTGTGTTTAGAAAATGAATTATATTTTCTTTTTATGTACTTTTTTATTATTATTAAACAATAAGGATTATCGGTAGGAAATATTAAGTTAAACGTTACTTTTAGCTTAATATAACTAATTAACTATTCCTTTTTAGTGGTCACAAGTTCATAAAGCTCATCTATATTTTGTTAACTCAATCCAATGCAGATCTCACGCACTCCGTGACCTCTCAAGTCTCATCCCATGTGGGTTTTCGAATGATGACCTCCTAATTTCAATGGAAAGTGATCCTTTTCTGTGATTTGTTTTGGAGAGAAAGAAAACAGCATAGTCTTTTTGTATTCTTTTGGCGCATCCAGATGAAAAGAATTTCAAAAGGTCGAATTCAACACACGAGAGAGTTAGACAGGTTTGGTGCTTTCTTTCCCTCATTCAAATCAAAAAAAGCACCCCATCGCATCGCCATCTCTTTCAAGCTTCGGGCTCACAGGTCAAAGCCTAATGGACTCATCCAACGCCCCTTGTTTCCCATTGAGAAATCTTTTCCATAAGCATAAATAAAGCTGGCACCCCCAGAAACAAGACAAGTGCCCTTTTTTTAGGTCTTTTCACAATCTTACCTCCACCTTTCCAAACACACCTTCCTTGTCAGTATATCCACACATATCAACACCCCTTTCTTAAACAATAGTAACAACCAACATACAATTTTATGCCTCTATGCATTCAAGCTTTCATTCTCAACTTCATGTATCAGCTTCTTGCAAAGAGCATTTGTTAGATATAAATTTTAGTATTTTAAAAGATTAGCCTTTTAAAATATCCCAATTTCATAAATAAATAAACCTTAAACAATAAGAACAAAAATAAGAAAAAGAAACAGCATATATGAAAAAGACTGAGTAATTAAGATGGGATATCATATTCATATCATATCATACATGCAGATTGCAGAGAAAGTTTAAGTTAGAAGGACTGAACTAAACAAATAACAGAGAGAAAGAAGATAAGATGGCAGTTATTTTCTTTCTCCCTCTTATTTTTTGTTGTCTAAAATCAAAACCAGTCAGAGAAGAGGGCCTCCCAAATCTCGGTGAAGACTTGGACAATGATCTTATGATGGTGATACGAATTCAGAGAGAGAAAACACTGCAAGAGATTCTCCAAATCCGCGGGCGAAAAAATCTGCTTCTCCACGATCATTTCCAGCATGGAAGTCCTGAAATCGCTGTAAGGGTCGCTGGAGCGTTTCACCACCGCGAAGGTGTCCTTGACCTTTCCGTGCAGCGGCAGAAGACCCATGTCGGAGCTCCGGTCAGTTTTCCGGCGGCGACGGTGGGAGCGGGAGGAGTCGGAGGAGAGGCTCCGGGAGGAGAAGAGGGTGTCGGTTTCGTCGTCTTCGTCGGTGCTGTACCACCAGTAGCCACCAAAGTTTGTGTCTTTGGCGCAAGAATTGAAAGGGAAAAAGTCCCTTCTCTTCTGGGCACGTCTCTTCTTCTTCTTCTTCTTCTTCTTCTTCTTCTTCTTCTTGGTTTTGGTCATCGTTGAAAAAGCCTTTGTTTTGTCGTCGAAGCCGAAATCGTGTTCGTGGATTGTGTTGAGGGAAATGTTGGGGGAAGTGGGGGGGCACGACATGACACCGAGGTTGAGGTTAAGGTTAAGGTTGTGATTGGTGGTAGCAGCCCATAGAAAAGGTGATGGCCATTCCGAGATTTTGCGTCTGGGGAGAGAGTGGGAATCCTTAAACGACACGATGCAAGTGTCGTTGCTTGTTGTTTTGGGGGAGGTTGGTTCCACCGGGTTGGGTGGTGCAAAAACCGCTTTTTCCATCACATCGGTTAGGTTACGGGTTCTGCAGGAACCGAATGAGGAGCGGAACATGCGAGAGATTCGCAGTTTGAGACGCTTTTGGTTTTCCATGCTACTCTCAGTCTCAGTGAGAGACAATTTTGATCTTGAAAGAGGGACTATGGAGAGATATAAATAAATGCATGAGAAACTCTAAGGGCAACTCAAGTCGAATTAATAATGATTTCAAATTCAAAGAAATTAAATAAATAAATAAATAAATAAATGAAGGCAGTGATGCAACTTTATGCTGTTTTTTTCTCGTCCTCTTCTTTGTCCTCACTGTGCCAGTGAGTGGATCAATGAAAGAATTTCAGTTTTAGTTTAATAAATTAAATACTCGCTACAGTTCTAATTGACCTTACTCCTTAGACCAAGCCACGAGGTTTATGTTTATGTTTACATTTAAGTTTACCTTCTTTTTTTTTTGTAAAATTTCACTTGTTTGGAGTAGTAAATAATTTATTAGGTTAGGTGGAGGCGTATATGAGAAATGAAATGAAATGAAATTTTACCCTTTGTGCTCCAAGTTGAAGCAGTGGGTGTGGGTATGAGTGAAACTCTGAAAAGCGTAAAGCTTGCTAGATACGTACCAGCACAAGGGCATGGGAGGGCTTACTGGAGAAGCACGATTCTCATTTCTCAGTTGTCCAAGAGTGAAAAACTTTGTCACCTGCACACTTTCAGAAGTGAACACACCATCAACAACATTCACCATGCTTTTATTATGCTACCACTTTTCCAATTCTACAATTTTTATCATTCAACTTTTAAGTCTGTTAATTAAATCTTCATTTTTTCTTTTATTTATAAATATGATCTTATTAAATATGCAATATGCACTAAATTCTTCATGCAACAACTCCAAGTATGTTTTGAGTTGATGGCGGAATTTGCCAAAGACAAAAATTATCTCTTAGATAAAGAAAAGGAACAAAATATTTGCATCAGGAAAATACCATAGAAATATAACAAAGAAACTTAATTATCTATGTCAATGATAAGTAATAGTTGAATGTTACTTTACTATCAAGTTATGTAGCAATTTTAAAGAAGATTAATTTTGATTAATAAAACTCAGATGTTCTCGCCTAGAAACAACTTACTCTTGTTCATGATCCATTAGTATCTGGTATTTTGAGACCTATGCGATACACAATATAATTAGTCGATGTAATTAAGTAAACAAGACATAATAAGTAAATACAATGTACTAAGAAAAAAATATATAAAATATTTGAACTTGAATGGCGTAAAAACGAACTTAGGTTGTAGTAAATACAATGTACTAAGTAGATTACTGTCTATATAAGGACAACGAAAAACAAAATGAATGTGTGTTATGATTCTAAAAAAATTTATAAGTAAAATATCAAATAAAAACTCATTTGATTCTGCGCCATTCGTAATATGACGTAGATCAATTTCAAGCTAAAAAGCTATAAAAATAATATATGTAAAAACTCATTTTTTTTAGAACAGTCTAACGTTTTATAAACCGTGGAGTTTGGACGTTAATCTAAACACACACGAAAATTGTTATGGATCAAAGGTCTAATTATAAATGAAAGAAAACTTGAAAGATTCAATTGACACAATTAAAACCAAATAACATGCAATAGCCAAATTTTTTTTCTTAGATCTTCTTAATCAATTTTAACCATTGGAAGATAATTTATACAAGAACAGGGTGATTGTAAAAGTACTTCTGCCTAACTTTTTGCTCCTTTTCCTATTAAGTCTTTTTTCTTAAAAAAAAAAATCACAATGATGTTTGAACATGAGACTGATACATGTTATTTCAACCTCACGCTGTTAGTATGATGCTAGTAATTTATGTCCTTTTAAGTTTCATTATGCAACAATATTAATTTAATACTTGTTGGGGGAGTTTTTTTAATAACCATTATTGCATTAATTATTTTTATAGCCTTTTAGCAGTTTTGAAATAACTAAATGTTAGAAGCAAAATTATTTTAATAACCCAATATCATTTTGTTTGATGTTTGAAAATGAACGTCACGAAATTGTGACTTTCTGTATCTGGGTTAAACGTTACAAAGTAACCATTTTAAGAAATATTATGTTCTAATAATTGTTATTAATTATTTTAATTATAAAACTTTTCTCACTTGAATATTGTCTTTTTATGAGAGTGAACTTTTTACGTAAAAACACATTAATATTTCAATTAATAAAAAATATATTTTATTATTATTTTTTAATCTTTATAATTTGTTGTTATAATAATTTCAATATGTAAATATTTTTCTTTTATATTATATTCTCACTCATCTATTATTTAATTGTATATTTTAAGAAAATTATTTTTTATCTGATTAATTTCTATTTAATTAAATGACAAAATCAAGGTTTAAAATTATGTATATATAAAGTATATATAAATGTAAATATATTTACAAAATAGAATTTTTAGAACAAGTGTTTATAAAAATAAAATGATATAAGGCATATGCGAATATAAATTATTTATATATATTTTTATTTTAAATATATACCAACATATTATATAAATTAAAAGTACATTTTTAAAAATCATAATAATATATTAAAAAAATTATAAATTTAACACCTGTACAATACACGAGTTATTACGCAAATTAATCTCTAAAATAATGATAATATTTCAATTTTTTAAAAAAATTTAAAAATATTGATACAATATCTTAAAAAATTGAAATTATTTATTTTTAATCGTTATCCCAACATTATCATTATCTTGTACTGGCAGATGAAAAAGGCACTTCCTTTATGTATTAAAAGAAGAAATAAATATATAAGAGTTATTTATGAACGATTTCAAATAAAATAAAAATGTGTGTACAAAAATAGTTACGAAATAGAAGGTTAGTAAATGATCTATCGTTTTCTATTAATAGTATAGCAACACCCTTTAGTCATGTAAATGTGGTAAGTTGGGTGGCTTTAAGGGAGTTAAGCAATCCTAGTTAAAAGTACCCTAAAGTGATCTGAAGGTGTAAATTATTGAAATTGGTTTACTATTAATATAGTAATTGACTAATTGTACTAATTAAGTTTAAAAATAATTTAACTGCAGCATATGTTTGCTCTGGGACATATATGGTAGTAGGGGACCATCTGGCATCTGGGTCAAGGACGTTGATTATACTAGTTCAAGGCGCTTAATCATGTTTGAAATTCAAATAGTAGAAAACGAAAGCTTAATAGCCTTTTCAATAACAGTTTTATAATCTTTACCTAAACACCATATCTTCTACGTAGTCCCGTGATATATTCATAGTATACTATAAAATTAAATATTTTCTTTAAAGCAAAATTACCTTTATATCCTTCTCCTTTCTTATGCTCTAATTCTTTATGCGTGGAAAACATTCTTTTTAAAAAAAAATTATATATATCTATCTCTCTCTCACTGCATTCCTCTCTCATAAAACAAACTTAAATCAGGAAGCATTGAAAAGCTTTTCAATTACTCCTTTCGTTCGTTTTCACTTCTCAGTTCTCAGTTCACAGCTAACTACAAAGTGAGAGTATTACAAAATTGAAAACTAATTCCACAATGGCGACATCCATATCCATCCAAACATGGTTATTTATTTCCCATAAAAGATACAGGTAATTAATAACCTTGTACTTAAAAAGAAAAAATCATGAAGAAATGATAAGTTGATTGTCTACACCTAGCTACAAAGATATAGTATAACAAAATTGCAAGCAAATTACATATCCACCTTACAGTTTTAATATTAATTTGAATAAATTTCTCAAAAAAATAAAAAATAAAAAGTACTTTTTAATAAATTTCTCTAAACTGACCCGTAGTGTATGATTATTTATGAATGAAGTTAGAATATAATGCAAGTCACGGAAAAGCTTATACTCAACACACAAAATATAATAATGCAGATATGTTGGTGTCACATAATAGCAGTTTTAAATTATTTTATTGTCCATTTAATTTGTTGCAATGGGCTCTTTTGCTAGCTCAACCACCTTCAGAATATACTTGAAGATAAGAAAGACAAGTATAGCTAAGTGCTGATAGGTTGCAATAGATATGAAAGTGGTAGAAGAGGTCTCGCAGGGCATATATTAATCAATACAACCTAGTACCTATATTTATAGCATTCAACTGAGGCAAAACTGAACATCCTATAGAACCAAACTAATCGTTGAATAGTGACTCTTGACCAAATCATTTGAATAAAAATGGAGGCCAGTTTCCATTTGAGATATCTGCACATTTCAATAGCTGTTACCAGCACATTAACCCTAAACCAAGAAAGTGGGTTTTGATATTAAAATATGGCACTAGAGAGTAGAGAGACCAATCATGTATAATTTTCGGTGTTGATATTGACCCCTTCTTTTTTATTGGATTTGAAAATGGGCAAAAGACGGTGGGTATTTCTAGTTCTCTGAAATTAGAAAGCTACAAAAGTGAATAGTGGTGAGAGAGAGAGAGAGGAATAGGGAAAATTTGATTTGATTTTCGATATGTGAGATATGGGAGTGGAAGACAAAGGTATTATTGTCACCTTATCAATGTTCCCTTATAAATGGATCTTATTAAGCATTTTTGTCAACATGCTCGTGTCTTGCTCGACTCGTCCGGTAGTTACAAGACAAGTTAGAGGTTTCAAGTCTATGCCACTCCGAGAAATTGAATCTTGCCCAGTACTTCAAATGTCCCTCTAGAAGAAGGGGTGCCATAATTAAACCCCTTTTATTACCCTTTAATTCCCTCTCCCCTTTAAATTATTAATTAGCACAAAAAATGCCTGTGCTTCGAATCACGAGGTTAAGGAGAAATCATATATTATTTCCTATGTTTCAAAACCAAAGCTTCTTTAGCATTTCAAAAGATTATCAAGATGACTTATAATTTCTATTTTCAACGTAATGTTATTTTTTTCCCTCTTAATTTACCCCTCATAATTTTTTAAATCACCAATAATGTATTTATTAGAAAAGTGAATTTATTTTAGTAAAATTATATATAATTTTTTTTTAATTTTTAAAAATTTTAAACTATTAGCATTTTATGACAGAAAAAGTATTCGATGGTTCAAATTTTGGACTATCCAACATGTATGGTCTTAATTAATCTTTATAAGACTTGCATTTAATTTTTTCAATTTATGCCTCCAAATAAAAAATTTTGTTTAATATTTTTGCACATCTTTTAAGAAATATTTTATTCAAATATGTTAAGTCTAAAATACTCTTATTTAATATCTTTAATAACAACAATTATGAAATATGGATTACAATTGTTATTAAATAGGATTATAATTGTTATTAAATAGGATTATATATGAAAGAAGTTAATTAATATCACTTGCATCGAGTATAACATAAAAAAATTTAGAATAAAAAAAGTCTAAAACGTCAAAATAGGGTTTAGAGTTTAATAACCCTTGATTGCATTTTTTTATCTACCACATGTATCATTTATTTTGTTAGAACTGTAGTATGTAGAAACTAGTTAGACAATATTTATGTGAAATAATTTGTAGGAGTCAAGGCCCTTTCTCTCTCCAAAGGGCATCTAAAAGTCTTGGAAGGTTCCAAGCACATAAAGACACATGGGAACGAGAAGCTCTTGCCCTTTACTACTTGAAAAGCCCCACCAAGGGGTAACAGACA